TAAAACAGGTGACCCCTTTAGGTGGCCTCAGGCTCCCTTTCGGGAAAATAATAAATAGACACCCTCAATAATAATAAAAAAAATCGACCAAAGAATAAGTGATATAAATAAAAGTATGTGTCGATAAGGACCACAGAATAGAAGTAACGATACCACGAACTAAAGCATCCAGAGAATTAACCCTATTTTCACGAGGTCTTATAATCGAACTATTGGAGAACGGTTGAAGTCAGCGAGAAATCGCCAAGTGTCTTGTAATACCGCTTTCCAGAGTGTTTGTTTGCTTTGGATTTCGCGCAAAACTACTGAAGGGCTGGCTATCTGCACTAACCGCCTAATTTAATCAATTCTTGGGCTACTCTTTTACCAACGAATAATGGGATCGAACTTAAAATAATAACCCCGCCCCCCTCACGGCTGAAAGGATGATCATGTTTGGTAACGGGAACTCGAACCCACAACCCGCAGATTGCGAGTCGAACGTCCTAATCACCAGGCCCTTTCCACAGTGAATATTGTTGTTCCTCTTATCTTGTGGAACAATAGTTTCTGAATGACCCATAATTAACAGACCGGACGCCTAGCATTGTGAGAAGAGGGAAAAATGGCCCACATAAAACAGGACATGCCCGACAATACCATGAAAACTGTCTACATAGCATGGGCTGCAGTGGCTAGATGGAAGTCACTCCGCGCTCCAGGCAATACGAACAGCAGTGGACATCACACTCACCTGCCGTTTTTCTTAAGATTCCATATTTGCACGAATACCCGACTGTGGGTGCACGTGGTTTGGCAACTATCCTCCCAAGTAGTTCTGTGAACAGTTGATAAGTTTCGTTTAAGTCACGACAAAATATGACGGTATTTCTGTCCTGGTGTGGAGTACCGTTTGGGCAGCTGATGATGACGTCACTACTGCTCGATGGATGGCAATTCTAAGGCATTCTACTGGTCGATACCAATGACCAGCTGACCAGACAAAGCTGTGTTTCATGCTCATTCAACCGAGCCACAAAACGATGATAAGGTCATTAACACTTTCCTGTGGCCAGGTTAATAAACGTATATGAAACCTATTAAGCACGTGTGGTCTATCCAAGTTATCCGCTAGGAATCCCAAAAGCCCAGATAAATATGATATATAACTATTTCTGCCTTGTGTATTGTACAATACAGATACAAAAACTACTAATGGTAATCCTGTACTCTTTGTTTCGTGTTTCTTTATTTATTAAAACGACATTCTTTCTGGAGTGGCTGCATATTTAACGATTAAAACGGTTGACAAGTCACAAAAACATTTTTATTTACAGAAGCTTCAAACGTTTCGGAATACACTTATTTCATCTTCAGCGAAACCTGGAAATATTATTATAAACATAAGTGTATTCCGAAACGTTCTGAGCTTCTGTAAATAGGTAAAAATGTTAACCAACCGTCTTCATCTTTATTGTTGAATCTCTAGTTACTTGGCCCGGATATGGCCAAGCGGTTAGGGCGCTTGACCCACAATCTAAGGGTCCGAGGTTCGAATCTCCGTCTCACCAAACATGCTTTATAATGTGACGGTCAATCACACTATTCGCTGGTGATGATTAGCTGCCTTCTCTCTAGTCTTTCACTGCTAAATTAGGGACGGCTATCACAGATATCCCTCGTGTAGCTTTGCGCAAAATTCTGTAACAAACTCAGTAAGTTTGTTTTAAGATATTCAAATTTAATGTAATTCTTTTTTTTCATTATTAAGAAATTAGACCGAATTATAATTAAGGCAGTGAATTCACTTGAACCATATACAACATGACACTGATCTTATAGCAGAAACAATATCTTTTCTGGATATAATATCTCAAACAACTATAACTATGTACGTGTGACTTTAAATTTAACAAAATTAACTTGTTTCAGTGCATTTAAAGAAAATTCTAGAAGCTGCGATTTATATTGTTATGTGTTGTGTCGCGAGTTGTGTTGTGAAGTTTTCTAGACCATTCAGATTTCAAACTTTAGGGTTAGAAACCCTCATGCTTACTGTTGAACCACCGAGGTGTATGTGTGTATGTGGGGGGGGGCAACATTTTCTCTAATTAGAAAAATGTCTACGCTTGCGCCCTCGTTGGCCTTGACAGATATGTCACAGCCACTTTTGTCGTGGCTGTAAAAAAATAAAAGCATCAAAATATTGAAATCATATTAAAAATTCATACTTACTAAGTTCACTCCAGTATACGATAAATATTTTAACTTCTAACTAATTTGATTAGTTCTACATGAAGTTAAAAATGTGAATACACGACGTAGGAATGGTGTACTAAACTGATTCGTCGTCTACGTTTCTTAGCAATTCTACGGAGGAAATACAGAAACGTATTGTTGTCATGGTAATGGTTAACTGAGAATTTAATTTACTGCCTAAAAACAACAAATTCACAACAAACCTGAAACTGACATTTTCTTTAAAAGAATCTTCCCAGCTGATTAGTGCTATGCTTAGAAAGTGTAGAAAGTTCACAACAACTAACCAACGAAATTCTTTAAAGAAACCACATATATATCATGATAAAATACTGTACAGAGTAATTTTCTTAATTCAATGTTGCCCCCTTCTCGTGACACAGAGAAATCGCTAGAAATCGGGTTTCGATACCTGTGGTGGGCCCAAAACAGATAGCCCCTTGTATAACTTTGTACTTAAGTACAAACAAACAAAATAATTAAATGTTTCTTTTCTTTCAGAATCTTGGTAAAGGGGTTCGTCGCTATCTTTGTGGTAAGTAATAATTGAATTATCATTTTTCTATCAAGTACATAACACACTGATTTACCATTAACAAAAACTTCTCAGAAAATGTTCTAATATTTTATTTGACAAAAAAACAGCAACAAAGTTTGTAAATTTTGTTTTCCGTAACAGCATAGGTTACTTGAATAGTATTACGATTTATGGCTAACTGAACAGACAGACACCTGTGAAAAAACCCACCATTAGACTAACGTCTTACCAGACAACAACTAAAATATGGCAATAATAACATTCATCTAACAGTTTGATTGACTTGGTAGCCGGTGGTTAAGGCACTCGACTAGCAAGCTAAGAGTCGCGGGCTCGAATCCCGTCGCCAAACATGTTCACACTTTCAGCGTGGGACCGTTATAATGTGACGGTCAATCCCACTATTCGTTGTTAAAGTGTAGTCCAAGAGTTGGCGAGGGATGGCGTTGAATAGCTAGTCTATCATCACTTCTAAATTAGGAATGGTTAACGCAGGTAGCCCTCGAACAGCTTTAAGCGAAATTCAACAAACAAAATTGATTGGCTTTTAATGAGATAAATGAATATCAACTATGATTTGTTTGCCATTTCAACAAGAATAGCTGTTATTTCTTATAAAACTCTATAGTAATTTTTCTTCTTTTTCGAAGAAATACTGAAGTTTTCAAATATAATTATTGCTATAACTCTGAACACCCCCTAGTGGCTCAGTAGCAAGTCCCAGACGTAAGACGCTAAAACTTGGGTTTCGATACCCGTGGTGGGCAGAGCACAGTTTGTTTGTTTGTAATTAAGCACAAAGTTACACAATGGGCTATCTATGCTCTGCCCACCACGGGTATCGAAACCCGGATTCTAGCGTCGTTAGTCCGCAGACATGCCGCTGTGCCACTGGGGGGCGGCAGAGCACAGATATCCCATTCTGTGGCTTTGTGCTTAACAACAACCAAAACAGTAACCGTGAAGAAAATAACGTTAGATTTGAGTCTGATGCTTACAGTGTACTATTTGTATTCTGGTTAAACGTGTTTGTTATATGTAGATTATTAAGTAATTTTATGTATTTGTGATTAGGGTTACATCTACAATACGAATGGTATTTGATTGTCATTTATTTTCCTTAGCGAACAAGGAACGCTACAAGTGTATGAAAGTAAAAGCACCAGCCGAGGTAAGTGACCGTATATTTATTGTATTAATTACTACAATGAGGGAGGTAACATTTATAGATTTATAGCTATAAATCGTTCATAGTTGTAATTGATAAATCCTTTGGGGCTGGTTACAATCTTTAACAGTTTAGTTTAGTATTACGCACACATTACACTTTTTAATTGGTAACGTGTTTTCTTCAGTGGACGTCGCCATATTTCTAATCTCATTGGTTCAATAACAGTTAAAGTAAGTTAAACCGTACAGATTATAAAAGTTTAGTATTACTTTAAAATGTTTTGAGTTAAGTCCATTATTCAAAGTTCGAGGTTTACTTTAATATATATTTATTATTGTTTGTTTATAATTAAGCACAAAGCTACACAATGGGCTATCTGTGCTCTGCCCACCACGGGTATCGAAACCCGGATTCTAGTTTTCTAATTCCTGTGCCACTGGGGGGCATTTATTATTGTGGCTTCATTTTGAGTTTGCAGGGTCTACTGAATGCCGGTTAACGCCTTAAATCACTACTATTCTTGAACGGTTCCATCGTATTTGGATTGTTACATTCATGTAATTCGGAATGTTTATATTATGTACCTACGCTTGCTTGTTTCAGAATTTACGCGCAGAGATACACAAGTCTATCTGCGGATAGCTACTCTTAATTTCAAACTTATAAAATAGAGGGAACGCTGTTAGTCAATAGTACTCATCGCTGACTCTTGCGCTACTGTTGTCTGATCGAATAACAGAAAATGACTGTCACTCGTATAGCGCACCTATAGCCCCAAAGTCGGAGCACGTTTTTGCGGCAACGTGAATGTTCGAGCCACGTTCGACTTTATACATACCTACGTCAATAAATCACGTAACATATTTCCCATGATTCATCAGCATCATTCGAAGAAATGTTCAAGGCAGTCGAAGAAGGACGTTCCTATCCATTGAGTCATTGTAGAGGTATTTTTTTATCCGGAAGGTTTTGTCTATAAACAACGGATTTGTTTTGGCTACTGTAACGATCTATATAAATAAACGTCAATATGTATGTGTATCTGTTCCTTATACGATTCCACATTCCTTGATCAATCAGCAACAGACGTGACACGGTTATACAGGATGATACGAGCAAGGTCATCAAGTGTGTAGGTGGGTGGTATTGGACCCCCCCCCCCACCCCATCTAATTTCAGGAAAACTACCAAATCAGCTCAACTTGACCCAATGATACAGGATATCATCAGGAAGATAAGATAATCAGGGGAGGTGGACCCCCATTTAATTTCATATTGATAAAATTCTTGAAAACAGTATGTGTTTCCTTTTAGTATTGGTACCATTATGTATTTTTATTGCACTTTTAATGTTTATTATATTAAGCAAATAAAATAGAAGCGCAATTTTCTATCCTTTGTTACAAAGTTTTTATTTCTCCCGTCTAATGGACGGGTACTCCAGTTAGTAAGTTATAAACCACATCGTGATTGTAAGGACTTGTTTTAGCTACTGTAACAATAACTTAAGTACTACGTCATGATTTTAAGGATTTGTTTCGGTTACAGTAATTATTTGAGTTATTTAAAGAACCGCTGCTCTTTCTGATTATTTAAAAATTTATAATTATAAGATACGTTTAGTAATTTGTATGAATATATAATGCCAGGAACAATCAAAAGAGGGCGCTTGCTTAAACTTACTTTTTTTTTAACACTGGCTATTTTAAAGTAATCTGCAAAGAGTTTCTTGTATTATAAGTATTTTTTGTAATAAAAAAGAAGCTGTTTTAAACATTACTCAATGTATTTTAATGATGTCGCAATCAAGATGTAATCTGTATTTGATATATATTAGTATGTAATTTTACTCTGTTGCATAGGTTCGTATTTGTCGCTTTACTTTAACGTATAATATATGATCAGAAAGTGATAAGTGTATCAATATTACTTGGGCAAAAACTTTTTGAAAGATTTCAGATTTCTACTGACTATTTTAATCTCAACACATACACAGGCACACAATCATAAATTACTGTTGAGAAATCTACAACTGTAAGGAACATAAATTTAATATTGGTAACAAAGCCACATTATTAAAGACTAAACAGGAAGACTTATTTTGTAGCTTCGTATTCTTTTTTTCTTCTAGCCATTTCTATGAATGTTTATTGTTGTTTAGCAGGAAATAAGTTTAATTTAACGCGGTCAATATGGTCTTAATGTCTTGAACTGCTCCAAAAGTTTAGGATACAATTTTAGTCATATATTAAAAAAGTGTTTTAGCTAGGTGGTATTAGTGAGTCTATTGGTCAGTTACTGAATAATCAGTCCATGATTTACTTAGTTCGTTCCACTCTGATTTTTCAAAGCCCGTTCCCTTGGCTGTGGTTTCGCTAGATAGTAGATAGGTACATTTAGATCAATGCTTTGAACATTGAGTTTGTGTTTCGGCGAGGAAATAGTTACGAAGTTAAACAAGTGAAATTTTTTGTTGAAATGGAGTTTATTTGTGAAGTCATTCAGCCCTACCGGTGAACGTTGGTTATTCTAAACTTGAAATGAAAAAAAATAAAACGTTTTTGTTGTGTTTAAGTGGACTGTACTTTTCATTATTCTTTTTATAAATTAATTTAAAAGAACCCCACTAAGAATAGAAACCATTACAACAATACTTAATGTAACGAACCTCACTAAGAATAGAAACCATTACAACAATACTTAATGCAACGAATCCTCACTAAGAATAGAAACCATTACAACAATACTTAATGCAACGAACCTCACTAAGAATAGAAACCATTACAACAATACTTAATGCAACGAACCTCACTAAGAATAGAAACCATTACAACAATACTTATGCAACGAACCTCACTAAGAATAGAAACCATTGCAACAATACTTTATGCAACGAACCTCACTAAGAATAGAAACCATTACAACAATACTTCATACAACGAATCTCACTAAGAATAGAAACCATTACAACAATACTTCATGCAACGAATCTCACTAAGAATAGAAACCATTACAACAATACTTTATGCAACGAACTTCACTAAGAATAGAAACCATCACAACAATACTTTAATGCAACGAACCTCACTAAGAATAGAAACCATTACAACAATACTTAATGCAACGAACCTCACTAAGAATGGAAACCATTACAACAACACTTAATGTAACGAACAGAGAACTAAATCTCGTCCGATTAAGATTTATATTTGAGCAGTTTAGTACTGCCCGCTATTGACTTCTTCATTGATTTCTGTGTGTAATAAAATCATATTTACAAATCAGCTCAAACGCACAGTTATTTCTGATGTAGTTTGACAGCTGAGATTAAGTGATTAAATAAAGTATGAAGATGACACAGCTGTATAAGATAACTGGGGAAGTATTTCACATCTTCAGAAAGTTCACTAATATTTCGTCCTTCTAAAATTGCTCCTAAACTCTGCTTTAGAAACTTCCTTCTGGTGTGACAGTCGAACTCTGTTGGATAACACGGCCATCGAAGCCTGGTAATTGTTAAGGCTCTCAATTAGAATATTATTAAATGCTTTATTAAGATGAAGCAAGGTGGATAGTTTGTTGTTCATTACGCAATTAATCTTCTAACTTATTTTGAACGCTGTATGGTATGCCTCCCATGGTATAATTACATCGTAATCTTATGGTTTCTCAATTAGACGATACTGTTGAAGCGGCTTGATAAATTCTATAATTTGATGAAGTAGACGTATAGCGGGAGTAGTCTGTGAAGGTTCTTCTGCAACTGGATGTGGAAAACAGTAGTGTTAACAGGGGGAGACGAAATTATTTGTCCTATTTCATATTGCATAGTTAATGGTGTTTGAGATTAGAATTCTTGAACGGATGTAGAGGGCAGTAGTTTTCCTTTGATATTTCCATTTACTAATTCAGTTTCTAGATTTTTTTTCCTGCTATTGATATCCTTCAATACATTTCCTACCGCTTCTTTAGTTTAATTATTTTTCTGTATTTTTTCAAACGCCCCTCCCTCAGTGGCACAGCAAAGAAAGCCATTTGTGTATCTTTGTGTTTAACTACAAACAAACATTTTTTTTCAAACTTGTTCTTTTAATCCTTCTGTATTTCATTAATATTATTGTTATAATCCTTCTGTATTTCATTAATATTGTTGTTATAATCCTTCTGTATTTCATTAATATTGTTGTTATAATCCTTCTGTATTTCATCAATATTGTTGTTATGATCCTTCTGTATTTCATCAATATTATTTTTATAGTCCTTCAGTACTTTCTTAATATTGTTGTTATGATCCTTCTGTATTTTATTAATATTGTTGTTATAAACCTTTTGTATTTCATCAATATTGTCGTTATAATCTTTCTGTATTTCATTAATATTGTTGTTATAATCCTTCTGTATTTCATTAATATTGTTGTTATAATCCTTCTGTATTTCATTAATATTGTTGTTATAATCCTTCTGTATTTCATTAATATTGTTGTTATAATCCCTTCTGTATTTCATTAATATTGTTGTTATAATCCTTCTGTATTTCATTAATATTGTTGTTATAATCCTTCTGCACATTTCCTATAACTTATTCTACTTCAATCTGTATATTTTATGACTTTTGAAATTCATTATTTACATTTTTCTCTTGTTCTCTATCAAATTGATCTGGATTTGTAATTCTTATGTAAATCTTATATCTCATTCTTGTAATTCCCTTCTTAAATTTCACTATCTTTCTTCTTGATCTTCTTTTAATTTTCTGCCTCTTTCTTTTTGATTTTCTTTTTATTGTTTCCTCATTTCAAGAAAATTCTCAGTCTCATTTTCAGCACGTGTCTCATCTTCAAATAGAGGCTTTATTTTGTTTTATTTTTATCAAAAATAATCTCACTCGTGACATCGTGTTGTAAGGGTTTTTATTTTTGGTTAGGTTTTTTATTCGATAAAAGAAAAGAATGCAAAAACCACTACATTTCTCCTACCGCTTCATATTGTTAATTGTTTTTAGGATCTGATAATGATGGACAACTGTCAGAAGAAAGCTTTTCCTGGTGTCGCCCCGGAGCAGTTTCTCAGCACCGTGTGTAATAACAACGACCCAGGGGTAGTCGACTCAGCTGAGAAGGTCAGTAAGCTCTTATGTTATGTGTCTTTTGTTTGTTTCGTTTTTTTAGAGCAAAGCCACATTGGGCTATCTGCTGTGTTCACCACGGGGAATTAAACCCCGGATTTTAGCGTTGTAAAACTTACCGCTGCCCCACCTGGGAACAGTTGTGTGCCTTGTGAATCATTTACACACACACACACACAGAAACTAATTCCCGCAAAATGTATTCCACTTTTACATCATTCGGAATAATATTTTGTAAAATAAACTATATCCAAAATATAACAGTTATATACATGTAGGAAATAACGCTAAGAGAAGATTTTTCTGTGATGATGTAGAAAGCTTGTATAACTTCTCATGGTAGAGATAATGTTATATAAGGTATGAGAAACATATTCTAGTTTCACCAAGGATCAAAGATTTATTATATTAGAACGTGACTAAAGCGGGTGCACACTTGCTGTTAATATGGTATGAAATACATAAGTAGATATGGAACTTAGGGTGCACATTAGTTGTTAATATGGTATGAAATACACAAGTAGATATGGAACTTATGGTGGAACATGGAGCATTAATTCATACTACTTTAAAAAATAATATCCAGAGGACATGTATTGTGTCGTTTTATGTTCTTAACTCTAAAAAAATATTTTTTCTTTTCTACACTAGATGGCTAATTACGAGTAAGACTGAATGAAGTGTAAAGCTCAAACCATTTAATTTATGTATAAACTTAATATTCCACCATAAGTTCCATATCCACTTGTGTATTTCATACCATATTAACGATAAGTGTGCACCCTGTTCCACCATAAGTTCCATATCTACTTGTGTATTTCATACCATATTAACGGCAAGTGTGCACCCTGTTCCACCATAAGTTCCATATCTACTTGTGTATTTCATACCATATTAACGGCAAGTGTGCACCCTGTTCCACCATAAGTCCGGTATCTACTTGTGTATTTCATACCATATTCACGACAAGTGCACCGGGGTACCACACTGGTTTGCAGACTTGTCTTGCAGAATGATGTTGAGTAGATTAGGATTTACTGGAATTAGTATGAGATAAAACTAAGTCTCTACTGTACCGTATAATGCAATACTCGTTCAAAAGTTCCTCCTATGTATTTACCGATAGTTATTGGTTTCAGTTTCCTTTTTTAATATTTCATATGTTATTTTAAACAACAGTTTCACTGTTCTGTCATTTTATGTGTGTGTGTGTGTGTTTGGATTGCTCAAATAATTCGTAAATAGTGCCATGAAATATTTTAAAACTAAAAACTGTAACTCACACAACACATGACCAATTTATGGTATTTAACTTTCCAACTTTAAATCCCCCCAAGTGGCACAACGGTATTTCTGCGGACTTACAACGCTAGAAACCGGGTTTCGATACCCGTGGTGGGCAGAGCACAGATAGCCCATGGTGCAGACAAACCTTAGGAAATATCTTGTTTTTACATATTAAATTTGAATTATGAAATTACTTGTTAAATAGTTAATTGAAAATCTTGTCTAGTAAAATAAAAACGTTTTTCTCACTTGATTTTCATTTACTCTGGAGAACTTGCAAACTAAGCTTTTAATAGAAACGCATATGAGTTATGGAAAATTAACAATGAAATTAATTTAGATTATTTTGTTGTTCATGACAAAAATGAATGATTATATTTGATGTATTCATATCTTCTTCAGTAAACGTTTTTAATCGTATGAATTATTTTGAACAGTTTGGACTATGCATGATAAAAAATACAGTCACAGACAACCAGGGAATGTACCCTCCTACATACATTAAGGTAGGTTCTCTTTACTTCTGAACTTCATTAGGCTTAGTTCCATTGCACGTTCAAGTTGTTTTGTTTTTATGACAGTGGAAGATACTTTCAGTTTGTTAATGGATTTGTTCTATATGTAAATGTAACATTGATTACTTTTACGGTGATGCCTCAGTGTGGTTTCTATTAGTTTTTTTACTTAAATTGTCACAGTTATCAGTACCAAAATTATCTGTACCAACATTATTAGCACCAACATTATTAGTACCAAAATTATCTGTACCAATATTATATCTACCAACATTATCAATACCAACATGTGCGTGTGATATTACATCACAGTGAAAGTTATTGACATTTAAGTTATATAACTCTTTATTTGCCCATTACGGATTTTCGTGTGAGATCTGGTGTTGAGCGAAAGACTAAAAAAACGGCGTGATTGAAATATTTAGCATATTGTGTGTGTGTTGTAATATCATGCACATATTAATACTACAGTGTCATACCCCGTCAACATAAGACATCCTAGAGCAATCTAAGACTAGTCACAGTTATTAGACTAGAATATATTTTATAAAGTTTAACACTATATTCTTCAGTTTGGACAGAGGCTACTATCCAAATGATTTATCACAGGATCTCTACCTCAACCAGAAGCGATGTAGTATATTTTGGGTGGCAGGGCAAGGAACAAGAAATTTCTTGAAAGTTTTGTATACACCATTGGAAAGTCCACAGTCTGCTGTATCTAAATATGTAATCCATGTAATGGTAGCTTATTTCAATCGAGAGTTATGAGCAGTCAAAGAGACACGTGATTTCAGAATGGCCACACTATCTTACCAGTAGCGATCAAACACATGAATTGGTTAACTCTCATTTTTGATTCTCAAATCAAATTATGTGACCTTCTTTCATTGTCTGTTTGAGATTGGAGATCTTGTTCTTGAGCTACTAATCTGGCAGAAGGCTGCAGCTACTACTATCACTACTGTTCTTGTCAGCACTAAACCTATTTATGAGTGCCGCCATAGCATCTTTCTGCTTGACAGATGGATTTGCCTGAAGAGGGGCTGTTAAAACATCCATCGTGATTGCATCCAAAGCGGCTACACAGGCTGCAAGTCGAACATCTCGGAACCTTGAAAGTAATTGAGGTAATAATGGTAATTGATAATAACAAGTTAAAGAGTAGCAAAGTTCCA